AACCGCTAATGCCTTCTGACCTCTATCATCTTTCATCAATAAAAAGTCGTCTTCTAATGATGATATATCCCAATCATCTTCATCAGCTTCTGTGAACTAATAGGGAGAAGAAAAAACATTCAGTTTTCCTCTGTCCGTTCACGTTGTGCTGAGATCTTCCCTAAACTCAATAATGTGAAACTGCTAAGGCAAAATGCACTCACACATGGCTTGTATGACATCTGTCACTGCAGGTTTAAAATCCACATAATTCAATTACCTAAATTATATTAATTCACTACTATAGTTCCAAAGCTAAAACTATGTTGAGTTTTGTTTGTTTTTTTTTAAGTCAGGAACTGCAAAAGTTAAAAGTTCTGCCAGTTTTTCTGCCAGAAACCTGTATTTTCAGGTAATACACATCTAACTTAAAAAAAGGATCGTCTTTTCTGGGATATTAGCTATTCCAATGAGATGGCAAGTCCTTTACGCATTAGAATGTATATTACTTAAATGAAAATAAAGACATGACATGTTATCATGCAAGCTGGTAGTTTGCTACATAAGTATTCTGTATTCATACTAGAAAAAAATAATATTGCAATAACGACCTTTTCATTTTAAACTATTTAAAGAGAAAATCAAATAATGAAAGTTAAAAAAATCACATGGTGCTTAAAGTTAAAATATGGATTCCTCTTAAGACTATCAGCACATACAAGTGTATTTTTAATTGTGGTGGATCTGCATAATGAGTTTCCAAAATGAAAGTCAAGTCAAATAGACGAACAACCTGAAGGCAGCAAGTCCGTGGTCTTTCTTATCTCATCTGCCTGAAAGCTAAATATCTTCACTCAGCTTTTGAAAGAAGAGCTACAGCATTTCCCTATTTGTCCGTCAGTCAGATGTGGTTCAGTGGAATCAAGCCATTATTAGAGAGCTTAACTGTGGAAAGCAAAAGGTTGTTTCTCACAAAGCTAACACCTTATTTCACAGGAGTCTCTCCGTATTGCAGTAAGATACAGAATGCGCTTCTCTTGCACAGAACAAAGATTCAGATGCTATTAGAAAACAACGTAAGGTATGTACATACTAGAGAAAAATCAACAAATATGAACGTGTCATGTCTCAAAAGAAGGGAAGAGACTGCAGTAATGCTCCATCTTGCAACATAATTCAATTTTACCATTGCAAACTGTTTTTCAAAAACTGACAGATCTGCTCAGTGTGCTGTATTATTAACATACCAGTATTCAACATTTTGCTGTTTTAAATTATCTGCATTTGGAGGGCGTGGTAATGGGAAAGTCAGTCACATATATTGAGAAATGCTGGAGGAAGAGTTTCCTTAAACAGTCACTAAGTCCCAATTGATTTTTAAAATACAAAATAGAGAGAAAAATGTCAACTTCAAACCGAATTTGTTTTTTTGATCAAGTGTAAGTACACAGCACCCATCAAACCTGCTACGCAGTTTTATGCATCCTCAAAGACTTACTCCAAAGAAGTACCATAATCCATGCAATGTCTGCTACAGGTAAACTCAGGTAATACAGCTTCAGGTAAGCACAAAATTAATTTTCTCTAAAATGTTTCTGAAGTAACTTCTGTAACACATGACCTTTATAAAACATACAACAATGGGATGCCTTATAAAGATTTTATGGTATTGTCAGTTTTGAGAATGACCATTAGCAGCTATAAGTATTTAAGCTATTAGTATTATTAGCTAATAAAAATTTTTGGATTTTCAGAGAAACTATCATTCCAATGGCATTTTGTGTTTACGTCTTTGGGCACCTTTGAAAATCCCACCTAAAATTTAAAGAGTTGACTTGAACTATACGCCTAGATTTAAACATACAAATATGGACATGAATATATGCACATTCATATATAATTAGCACGGAATACAAGATGCTGTGGTGTTCTGTAAAGATTCCGGAAACAGAGTAGCAATGTCTGCCCTGGCTTCATAAACTCTGACAAACTCATCACGTCCACACAGCAACATGCCA